CCCGTAAAGATTTACACCCTCGGAAACCCTGTACAGGGTCGCTGTGGGTCGGAACCGACTCGATGGCACTTAACAACAACAACAACAACATATATATATTAGGAATATTAGCCTTTTAGAAAACAAAATATTCCTTCCAATGGGTATTTTTTTTTCCTTTAGTACTAATAGCCCTGTAAGGTGAAGAATGTGTGTGAACAAAATATATTTTCAACTACATCTTATTTTAAGGAGGGTTGCCAACTTTTTATTCAAACTAACAATGCTCTAGCACACTGAAGTTAAGTTTGTAGCTTTAAATCTTCATGGTTGCTTCTTTTTTATCTGTATACATTCTAGACCAATGCCAGGATTCAGAAACTCGAACATTCTATCAAATTGGAGACTCGTGGGAGAAGCACGTGCATGGTGTCCGGTACCAATGCTACTGCTATGGCCGCGGCATTGGAGAGTGGCATTGTCAACCTGTGCAAACCTATCCAGGTAGGTGGCTCCACTGTGATGTAGCAAGAGGACTGCATCGTCACTGACCAGTGCTCAGATACCTAATTTGGAGACTCTTTTCACGTTCCCATCCTTCTCTCCTGTCTCTTTGACTAGAGGGAATTCCTTTCTCCGCAGTCAACCCAAAGGTACTGAAAAGTTGTAAATCTGTGCCTGCATATCATTTTGCTTCCAACCCTAAAGAACATTCCATTAGGCCAAGCACTGGCTCATCTCACACACTTATCCTTATTGTATGACAACAGACAGAAACCATGATGTGAGCTAGGACAGGAATATAGAACTGGGGTTTTAGATTACAGTTCTTAGCAAAGAAGTCTTATAGATGAGTTGCATGACGTACAATATAGGGTATGTGATTCTTCACCATTTCCTCTAGACCCTTGTTGAACATTGAAGCTTCCGTTTGTTTGATCAGTTATGTTCTGGAACAAAGTACCCTGGCCCAAGAGTTGAGTAATATAGTCAGTTCTCTTTCCACAGAATTCAAACACTCTCAAATGTTTATTTTGAGGGTGTTTTTCAGGTCATCGGGACATAATGCCTAGCTGTAGGTGTTATTAATTCTATTTAAGAAAAAGAAAATTATTTTCACTGAGTGGTTAATTATAACATGTTGAATGATGAAGCACAATTTATGTAACTACTCAGTTATGTGTATAACTACTGAAAAGCTAAGTTTTGTAGAACTCTATTAACTTTAGACTTAAAACATAGTCTACATTCAGAAAGAAAAAGAGATTTTTAGGGTGTTAGAATCTACCTGGGACAGAACTTAAAATTAAGTAAACTAAGCCCCTCTCCATAATGTGGTAAGAGATTCATTACTTATAGACAAGAAATTAGCAGTTTGCCAAGGACATTGTTAAGCAGGGCATGGCTCCTGGCTCTGAACGGCCACTGTGGAGTTACATGGGAGACACTCCTCCACTTCCTCATCTGTAAAATGACGAGATTCAAGTTGAACTATCTATAAAGTTCCTTCCAGCACTACCCATCTAACAAACTATGACCTTCAATGCCAGCCACTCAAATGCATGCTTTCTAGGAGCTCTGGATTAAGGCATTCCTGCTTTCCCCAAACCTCATGCCCTGCTGAGGCTGCCAAAGGTGACTTTGCTTTCTCGGACTCGTGATGGGCGCCAGGCTCCTTGGCGTAGGGGTGACTTAAAATAATGTTTTAAATATAATCATATTTTTCTTGGATCGGATTGCATAAGCACTGTAAATTCAGAAAGTATATGCTCTGTTTTCCTTTCTATTTACTTTTTTTAAAAAAAAAAAAAAAAAAAGGATACAACCAAAGAATAGCAACTTCTAAAGAAATGTTGTTTAATTGCTGTTTGTGTTTGTTATTAGCGTGGATAGCAATTTGTTGAAAATGATATTTCTTCCTCAGTGAGTTACAGACCTTTCTTGCCCTCTTAAAATAAGCATGTCCGCATAGCTGCTGGCTAGAAGAAATTAGGTGCCTAGGCCAGAGATGAAAGATGGAGGATGGGAGTTTCACATGTTCACCTTGTTCCTGCTCTCCAGCAATGATGGGGACAGCAAAAGCCACTGAACCAAGAGGAGATTTGGGGATAGAGGTCTGGCATTTGCGCTGAGATGCATGGTCTGACACTTATCTGTATGTCTGGCTTGCTCAATGGGTCAAGCCTAGCATGTGGGACTTTGAGGCTGTGGGATGAATAAAGAGCAGATTATCGATAGATTGTCTCTGAGCCTTGTCCCGTTTGCTCCTCCTAACGAGACCTTGGTTGAGTTGTTCAAACGAACAGAAGATAAGAGGCATTTGGTTTGTCAATAAGCAAGCAGGAAAGCACAGTTCTCAGCAAATTAAACAGAGGAAAAAAGGACTGAGTTGAAACTCATAAATGTTTAACTTCTCCAGGGTCACTGTTACTGGAAGTTACTCACTTGGGCAGTTACTTAAACTGATTTTTAAAATATTTGAATTGTATTATATCTTTGCTTACCAATTGCTATTGTTATTCTGATCATATTGAATAAGGGTTTCAAATTAAAAGGTTTCACTAGCTGAATCTTTAGATTTTACAATAGTAAATGTTAGTATATGCCACTTTGGTAAATTTAGAAATGTGATCATCAGTTTTATAGTCAACAAATCATATCCTTCGTTTCATTTCAATAATTGCAGTCCCTATGATTCTTGTTTTCATTCAACCTGCTTTCACAAGCTTTCTCAATTTGGTCCTTAGGTAAATGCTACCCTTATGGTCTTGACTGGTTAACCATTCCATGATGTGCATACCTCATTAGTGCCGTTATTGTTAAGAGCAATTGAGTTGGTTCCTACCCATAGCAACCCTGTACAGGGTTTCTGAGGAGCAGATGGAGAGCTTGAACTGCAACCTTACAGTTCAGACGGCTTTGCAGTCTGGCGCATTAACCCACAGTGCCACACCAGGATTCCCCCTATATACCTATCTGTTGCTTGACTGGAAATTGAACCACAAGAGTGAGTTCACTTCCAGACTTAAAGAGTGAGCAAGGGCCATAGTGTTTGGTTCCCCCAGTCTCTTTCTAACTGGTAAGCCTGGTCTTTTTTGTGGTTTTGAGTTTTGTTCTACATTTTCTCCCACTGAATCCTTGCCTTTCTAATGTGATCCCTATCAGAATAGTTCGTAGTGGTCACTCAACACCATCTAGTTCTTCCTGTCTCAGGGTCATGGAGACCGATGTTCACGTGTGCATTCTTCCACTCCACTGATTGATTCCAAACATCCTCAGTTGTCATCAGTCTTTCCTTCACACAGGCAGAGGCCAATTGTTGCACCTTACATGACTGCTCGTGAGCTTTTAAGAAAACTGCGAATTTTATACATGAATTTTGATATTCTTGTAGCTTGGAAATACATGTGTTAAGTGGAGATCAGATTCAAGGAGTATTTCTGATATTCTTTTGCCAACTTTAAATTATTCCCAGTTTGGAAATGAGTATATTATCCTAGAACTTTGAATTCACTCAGATAGGCAAGTTAGATATTTATTCTGCTAGAGAAAACTTTGTTTCCAAAGAGAATTTAAAGCTAAGATAATAAATGTTTGAAAAAAAATGTCTTTTTCTGGAAGCTCTCAGAAATCTTAAATCTGTTAATAATTTGGTGGTGCACTTTATTTAAAATGCAAAATTTTGCTCTGACAGAGTGGCAATTAGAAATTCTTGGAATATCATTACAAGAGTTTTTTTTTTAATTTCTAGCAAGTTGGATGGCTGACTGATATATAAAAGACACTTTTAAGGAAAAAGACAGTCTTCTGTTTCCCAGCTATTTCATTATTATCCTAATTGGATTCTACAGTAATCAGCAATGATTTCACGTCTCATAATTTGCTTAAGAAAATAAAAGAATCAAAATTATACATTTTGTTAGTATGTACATTACGGTGTGGAAATATTGGCTCTAGTATATAATTCAGCATGTCATTTCATTGACAACTGCTTCTGAAAAGAAATGACAAGTTTGAGCTATTAATTATGTGACCAATCAGTGGTGCAATTTAAAAGTATCCTTCAGTAACTTTTTTCCCAAATGAATAGGTTGCTTATACTTGTTGTTAGGTGCCATTGAGTCAGTACCGACTCATAGCAACTGCAACCCTATGCACAACAGAATGAAACACTGCCTGGTCCTGGGCTAACCTCATAACTGTTACTATATTTGAGCTTACACTAATAAGAAATAAATCTAATTTCTTAATAATTTGTATGATCTATTTTTGCAAAATTCTATCCCATGTAGAATTTTGTCTTACATCGTGTCCTATGGCATGTAGAATACAAAATGAAGGGCTGATGTTTCCTTCTTAGATGGTACATTCAGTTCTTGATGAACATCTTCATAAATCAGAATTTTCTTGAAATGAAGCAAAAGAAGTTGTAGTCTGTAGTTCATTATTTGTATTGTTGTTGTTAAGTGCCATCGAGTCAGTTCTTACTATTGCAATCCTGTATAGGGTTACCAAGGAGCGTCTGGTGGATTTGAACTGCCAACCTTCCAGTGCTTATTGTAGAGTGCCACACAAGGACTCCTTATTTGTATTTTTGTTGTTTTTAAGTACCATCAAGTCAGTTCTGACTCAGCACGACCTTGTGTAGGGTTTCCAAGGAGCAGCTTTGAACCGCCAACCTTGCAGTTAGCAATCTAGTGCTTATTCTACAGAGGCATACCCAAAAACTGCCATCAAGTAGATTCTGACTCAAAGGAACTTCATATAGCGTTTCCAAGACTGTGTAAATCTTTAAAGGAGCAGATCGTCTCATCTTTCTTCCTGAAAGCAGCTGGTGGGTTTGAACCATCGACCTTGAGGTTAGCCATCCAATGTTGATCTCAGAGCTCTACGGAGCTCTTTTTGTAGTAGGATAGTCTCACAATTGTCTTGTAATGCTTACTTTGAAAATGAAAGAGAAAAGAACAAATAAAGAGGTATTTTTTAAAAACATTTTTGTTTGCCATAAACAAGTTCTACTTGCCCTTCTCACATGAAAAGCAATCATCTATGAGCTAAAAAGGAATTCATTGCTTTGATTTCAAAATGTCATTATATAGATGTATTAATTCGTTTAAACAATTTCTAAGTAAAACTTTTTAATGACGGCCATCCATGTATACCACGATTTAAGTGCCAGTGAGTGAATACCCAAGATAACCAAATGCCACCTCTATTTTTCAGGTTCAACTGATCCTGTCCAAGTAATCATCACTGAAGGTCCCAGTCAGCCCAACTCCCACCCCATCCAATGGAATGCCCCCGAATCATCTCACATTACCAAGTACATTCTCCGGTGGAGACCTGTGAGTATCCCACCCAGGAAACAATTGAACTTCACAAATCTGAAGGATTCTTTTTCTTAAAGCCAACTTGTGAACCTATAGATTTGATTGTCATTGTTGTTGTTAAGTGCTGTCAAGTCAACTCAAACTCATAGCAACCTTGTATAGGGTTTCCAAAGAGTGGCTGGTGGTTTTGAACCACCAACCTTGCAGTTCAAAGTGACCTTGTGGTCCATTGCTTATCCTACAGTGCCACAGCAAGACTCCAGAGATCTGATTAGTTACTCATATAGTTATTATATTTGTTTTGTTGTTGTCAAGTGCTGTCTAGTCAGTTCTAACTCACAGTGACCCCGAATAGGGTTTCTGAGGCTTTAAATCCTTGAGGAAGCAGAAAGTCTCATCTTTCTCCCATAAAGTGGTTGGCAGGCTCGAAGGTTGATCTGATGAACCTGTTGTTGCTGTTAAGTGCTGTTGAGTCAGTTCCGACTCACTGCAACCCTGTATAGGATTTCTGAGGAGTGGCTGGTGAGTTTGAACCGACAACCTGTGGTTCTGACAGACCTTGTGGTCCACGCTTTATCCCATAGCACCACACCAGGACTCCAGGTAACCTGTAGATTTGCTCTTTCAGTATTTAGCAAGATTTCACTCTTTACAGAAAAATGGTCTTCTTAAGAAGGATTTAGAAATGATGATTAAAATTATTCTTGCCCACTATGGGAAGATACGCTGAGATTTCTTAATGTCATATAATCCCCAAAAAAGGGTTTTTTGGTGGTGTTGTTTTATTTTTTTTAAAAAGGCAATATTTCCATGATTTGTAAAACAAAAGTTAAATTAGTATCTTTGTCATTTGATGTACTGTTTTAAGCGATCATTTTATAAAACCTCATTTTGATTCCTTAAAAATCGAGTTATGTTGATAGATATGGAAGAGACGGTGAATGGTAAATATAGATGAGGGCTGATAGTTGGTTTCTTTTCAGAATGTAATTTTTTGATAAGTGTCTAGAAATTCTGAATAGCTTACTAAAGAAGCTTTTGTCTTTTAAGTGATAGTTTCCCTGTTCCTTTCAAATCTAATCTGTTAAAGTCCTGAAGTTCACGACTCATCATTTAGAAGGAAAATGCCTATTTTTCAACACAGCTACATGTGGTGCTGCAGTTTGAATTGCAAGGTCAGTAGTTCAAATCCACCAGCCACTACTTGGAAACCCTATACCAAGGTCGCTGTAAGTGAGAACTGACTCTATGGCACTCAACAACATTGAATTCTAACATTTAAATAGAAAAAGAAATAAACAAAACTTCAAACAGCTCATGCAGCCTTATTTAAACTCTAGGAAAATTCAAGCTGTTGAGATCAGGCATCTTCTTTTACCCTCTTTCAGTGAGCAGCTATTTGAAGAATTCCGATATCTAGTGAATTTTCCTCAAATGCCTTCTTGTTTCTCATGTTTTCATCTCATTGCTAATTGGATATACTTTAAACTTAACTTTGAAGTATTACCTGAGACTGTTGTAGGAGGGAACGTTATCATTGATGTGTAGGAATAAATGTATGTGTAGGTATGTTGTTGTTGTTGTTAAGTGCCTTCGAGTCGGTTCCGACCCATAGCGACCCTGTACAGGGTTTCCAAGGGTGTAAATCCTTACGGGAGTAGAAAGCCTCATCTTTCTCCAGCGGAGCAGCTGGTAGTTTCGAACCACTGACCTTAAGGATAAATGTATATAAATGTATGTTGTTGTTTTTAGGTGCTGTCAAGTCAAACTTGACTCAGGTAGCGATCTTTATGTGAAGGAGCGTAGTGGGTTATGAGTTGGACTGCTAGCTGCAAGGTCAGCAGGTCAAATTTATCAGCTGTTTTGAGGGAGAAGGATGAGACTTTCTGCTCCCGTAAGGATTTACAGCCTCAAAAACTCTACACGGGGTCGCTATGAGTCGGAGCCGACATCCAATACAAACCACCACCACCACCACAAATCTTTACAAGAACAGACTGCCAGATCTTCTTTTCCTCAGAGCAGCTGGTGGATTTGAACCACAAACTTTTTAGTTAGTATATCCTTGAATTGACAATCTTCAACAAATAGCAGTGATGAGTTTTTTTGAGGTTTTTAACAACTAAAAATGCTCAGGTTTTTCCTTAATAGATGCAATCTGAAGTTTATTTTCTAATGTTTCCTGTTAATAAGTAAAACTGAAAATGTAGGCATTTAACAAAACGTGACTGTCACTGAAGCTGAGCTAATTGTAATGACTAATTTTATCATGTTTTCATAGTCTATTTGAGTTAAAACTCAACTTTAAAGAATAGTAGGATCATTTATTCCAAAAATATTAAAGAATACTTGAATATTTGGATTAGTGAGTATTTATTCCAAAAATATAAATGAATACTTGAATATTTGAATTACTGAGTATCTGGTTGATTGTGAAAAAAAATCACTGGGAATTCAAAACATATTTTTGCTTATACTGGTTTTGAATGTTTACATGGAAGACTCATGTTGTTTGATGTGAGAATGGCTCTCTCCCTCACATTGTATTGCATGGGGTTTTATAATTCAGGACATATTAATGAAGTCAGACAGGATTTGAAAATGGAAACTGGAAGCCAAAGATTAAATAAACAGTAATATTCTTCTACAGTCTTGCCCAAAGTTGGTTAACCACTTTTGACGGGGTAGTTCCTATTCAAGAATGAGCCATATGGCCAGACCACTTGAAACTGGCATGTGATGGTCCCATGAACTGATTCACAGAGCAATATGATTCCTTTTCATTTTTCAACAAGGCAAAAAACTGGAACTGTAGTCCACTTAGTGAAGAGATAGAATACGTGGCATTTTTTTCTTTTCCATTTCAGAAAAGAATGTATGTCTGTTCATTGTAGAAATGAAAAAAGTTGGGAGAGGTGAAGCTTCAGCTCATTATATGAAGTTGTAATTACTAAATACTTGGTCTAGCAAAAGTAAGGGGCTCAGTGCTTGCTTACTGTAACCTCAGGCATGTTGTTTACTCCTCTGTTTCTTTACCTGGAAAATGGGACAATAATATGACTACCTCAGTGAAGAAGTTGAAGATTAAGTGGAAGAATGCAAGGAAAACAACACAGAGTCACGCATAGTGGGCCATACATATCAGTTATAGTAACAATGGAGTGCCAGTGGCACTGTAGGATAAGCACTGTCATGGTAAACACAAGGTTGGCACTTCAAACCCACAACTGCTCCTTGGAAAACCTTATACAGAGTCATCATGAGTTGGAGCTAACTAGACAGCACTTAACAACAACATCGTAGTAATAATGGAGCACTGCTGTCACCATAAAATAAACACTGGACTGCTTACCACAGCTTGGCAGTTCAAACTCACCAGCCACAACATGGGAGAAAGAGGAGGCTTTCTGCTCTCGTTAAGATTTATAGCCTCAAACCCAATGTAGAGTCACTAGGAGTTGGAACCAACTCGACAGCATTTAAAAACAATATGCAACAATACCAACAATTACCACTAATATTAACAAAACTCTGTTACAGGCCCTTTTGCCAATTCCAATTTTCCATGATTTTTCCTACATAATGAACTTGCATATTTTTTCCATTCTTCTTTGAAGACACTAAGTAACATCTCTAAATTTTGTGGGGTTTTTTTTTTTTTTTTTCCTCTTAAAATTTTTAGAAAAATACGCCAAGTCGTTGGAAGGAAGCAACCATTCCAGGCCACTTAAACTCATACACCATCAAAGGCCTGAGGCCAGGTATGATCTATGAGGGGCAGCTCATCAGCGTCCAGCAGTACGGCCACAGAGAGGTCACGCGCTTTGACTTCACCACCACCAGCGCCAGCCCCCCCATGACTGGTACGTGCCCATCATCCTCAGGTTGGCATCGAGGTCTCCTCAGAAAGTGCTTTGCTCTGTCATTCATGGTCATCTGTGAACAGCACCCACATTTTCAAAACCTGAAGACAGGGACCTCACTTTCCTCTTTTGTGACTCCCTAGGCAACACAGTGACAGGAGAGACGACACCCTTTTCTCCAGTCGTGGCCACTTCTGAATCTGTGACTGAAATCACCGCCAGTAGCTTTGTGGTCTCGTGGGTCTCGGCTTCTGACACTGTGTCAGGGTTCCGTGTGGAATATGAGCTGAGTGAGGAGGGAGATGAACCACAGTACCTGGGTAAGCTCATCTCACGTTGGAGTGAGTGTTGATAAACCCTCCGTGGTGGTGATGGTGGTGATGGTGGTGGTGGTGGTGTTGGTGATGGGAGCCTCCAAGAAGGTGGATTTGGAATTAGTTCACAGCTCAGACTGAACATATCACCCTCAGGTATGTGGAAGGGAGGGGACTTACTCTTCTAGAACTCCATTGTTTTTTTCTGAGCCACGTTCACATCTTCTGGTCCTTGATGTGACTGCCTTATGCATTTGCCTGGTCACTGTTCCACTCAACAAAAACTCTTTTCTTTAGGGAACTCATTGCCAATACGCAAGCTGCCGCTGAAATTTTTATTTTTGGCCGGGAGTGGTACAATGTTTTTATTCATGCCTTTCAAATTCTTATGGTTAGCGGTCCTTGTTAAAACTTTATTAAAGTAGAAAAACATGCATACCAAAAAGTGCATTCATCAAATACGTACAGCTTGTTGAATTTTTATAAGGTAAACACATCCTCGTGACCAGCACCCAGATCAAGAAAAAGAACATTTCTTCTTCCCTACTCCTTATGATCAGACTTCCCAATAAACACAACCCTGATTTTTAACTGCCAGGAACTATTTTTCAAAATTGGTAATGGATTATAAAATTATACACATGAGGGGGTTTCACAATTTTTGTGGAAAAATTGAGTTAAAAGGTAATGGAATGTTTCCACCCACTTTTTGAAACTTCCTTGTATTTGTTGTTAAGTGCCATCGAATTGGTGACGACTCAAAGTGACCTGTTTTCCGAGCAGTGACTGCTGAGTTTGAACCTCTGATCTTGCAGTGCAAACCAACCAGTGCTTAGTGTACAGGACTCCAGAGTGTTCATTTAGAAAACTTCCTTCTAGTCTGTTTTCTTCCCTCTATGAATATGTAGGATAGGAACCCTAGTGACACAGGGTTAAGCTCTCAGCTGCTAACTGAAAGGTCAGTGGTTTGAACCCAGCAGTCACTCAGTCTGCATCCATAAATATTTACAGCCTTGAAAACCCTGTGGGACACTTTTGCTCTGCCCTATCGGATCACTATGAGTTAGAATTGGCTTGACAGCAACAGGCTTGGTATGAAGAGATAGTTTTGAAAATACCCTGGAGTCGTGGTATGGCTCTGTGGGTTAATGCACTAGACTGCAAAGCCATTTGAACTGCAAGGTCAGTGGTTCAAGCTCACCAGCTGTTCCTTGGAAACCCTATACAGGGTCACTATGGGTTGGAATCAACTTGACAGCCCTTAACAGCAACAACAACATAGGCTATGTAGTCATTTTAGGGATTGAATTATTCTGGTGAGTAACCTTTTCTTTTTATCTCAAAGATCTTCCAAGCACAGCCACTTCGGTGAACATCCCTGACCTGCTTCCTGGCAGAAAATACATCGTAAATGTCTACCAGATCTCTGAAGAAGGAGAACAGAGCTTGATCCTGTCTACTTCACAGACAACAGGTACATGGGTACTTAAGAATCATTTTATGTGAAACATAGACCTAGAGCAAAATTTTCTGACTGTCTTCCTCATTTCTTCTGTGGTTAGCACCGGATGCACCTCCTGACCCTTCTGTGGACCAAGTGGATGATACCTCAATTGTTGTTCGCTGGAGTCAACCTCAGGCACCCATCACAGGTCAGCTCTACATCCTTTTCTTTGGCTGCCATGTTGATTTTGACTGTTGAGGGAGCAGATTCTGATCTGTGGAGCAGCATATCAGTTCCTAGTCCCATGTTCTGTGGATGTATGTGCAGGTTTCTATCCTGCTCAGGATGGTTCTTTATTTGCTTCTGTTGTCCAGAGCTTAAAGAGGAAAAGAAATAATAACATGAACATTTTCATGTTATGGCTTCTCTAATCAGCATTGAAGTTGTCAATGACTTCATTTTGCTTGGATCAGCCATTAACACTCATAGAAGCAGCAGTCAAGAAATCAAATGACATATTGCATTTAGACAGATCTGCTGCATAAGACCTATTTAAAGTATTGAAGAGCAGAGATGTCAGTTTGAGGACTAAGGTGCTTCTGACGCAAGCCATGGTATTTTCAATACCCCCATATGCATACGAAAGGTGGACAGTGAATAAGGAAGATTGTGGAAAAATTCATGCAGTTGAGTTATGGCATTGGAGGAGAATATTGAGAGTACCATGGGCTGCCAAAAGAACAAACAGATCTGTAGTGGAAGAAATATAGCCAGAGCGCACCCTGGAGGCCAGGATGGCCAGACTTCGTCTCTCATACTTCAGACATATTGTCAGGAGGGACCAGTCACTGGAGAAGGATATCATGTTTGGTAAAGTGGAGGGTCAGAGAAAAAGAGGAAGACCCCCAGTGAGATGGATTGGCACAGTGGCAGCATCAGTGTGCTCAAACGTAGCAATGATTGTAAGGTTGACCCAGGATTGGGCAGTGTTTCGTTCTGTTGTGCATAGGGGTACCAAGTTGATGGCACCGAATAACAACAATCTACATTTGTTGTTAAAATGGCTTGTATGACTATTCTTAGTTTATCCTTGTGTTGAAAAGTCATTATAAGAAGTGACAACATTAAAAGAGTCAAAAGACTCACCAATTTTACTTACCTCGTTGTGCGTAACTAAAAACCATGGGATTTGTGTTTTACAATAATCAGTTTCATAAAGCAGTGTACCTCATTTTTTCCTACCATATCTGCAGGATACAGAATAGTCTATTCACCATCAATTGAAGGTGGTAGCACAGAACTCAACCTTCCTGAGACAGCTAATTCCGTCACCCTCAGTGACTTGGAACCCGGGGTTCAGTATAACATCACTATCTATGCTGTGGAAGAAAATCAAGAAAGTACTCCTGTTTTCATCCAACAAGAAACCACCGGTGTCCCACGGTCAGGTAACTTTGAGAACCGACACTTCCATGATTCATGTAATTGGTCCCAACGAAAAAAGATGAATTGACCATTGTTGTGTTAGCAATAGTTTTACAACAATTTCCTATTGTATCGTATCTCTTAGGGCTTAACAAGTCTTTAACCTCCCTTAGAGGGAGAAGCCTGTCCTTGGAATGTGCTTCTTCTATTAGCTTCCAGGGGAGTGTAAGACAAAAGAAGTGTTCAACACTTCCTCTAAGGAGCTCTGGTAGTATAGTGGTTATGAATCTGGCTGTGAACAGGAAGTCAGCAGTTTGAAATTACCAGCTGTTCCGCAGGAGAAAGATGAGGCTTTCTGCTCCCGTAAAGATTTACAGCCTCAGAAACCCTGCACAGGGTCGCTGTGAGTCAGAACTGACTCCAGGCACATAACAACTATGCAAGTAATCTTACAAATTAATTCATGTGTGAATTTATGGAATCTGCTGGAATGTCCACACTATAAAGCAACTTATCAAAGCCAGCTATTCTTCCTGATTAGAAACTGACTACAGAAAGTCTTCGTAGTTTTCCACAGAGATTTAGGGGTTATTTCACCTATTCATCTTAATTTTACTATATCTTTCAGTAAAGCAAAACCCACTTTATTCCATCCTGTAGTCATCATATCATACGTCCAGACCTATATACATTTCTATCATACGTCCAGATATACCATTGCACATCCTGAAAATTGATCATGTTTTAGGTTAAAAACATCATTTCTTTATACAATAAGCAGTCTAATGAAACTACAAAAAATACGTGCAAAAATGCATGTTCTATGGTTAAGAGTCCTGGTGTGACACCATAGGATAAGCACTCGACTTCAAGGCTGGTTTGAACCACAAGGTCAGTGTTCAAACTCACCAGCCGCTCCTTGGAAATGCTCTACAGGGTTGGTATGAGTCTGAACTGACTCGATGGCACTTAACAACAACAAAAACATGGTTAAGAGACAAAAGTTAGTAGTGCCCTGAAATAAAAGGTGCTATGAATTGAATAACATATCTGAGACAATGGCTTTTGAGAAATAACCTTCAGCAGGAGTTGTGAATGACCAAATTGTCTCTTGTCTGCTAGATAAAGTTTCCCCTCCCAAGGACCTACAGTTTGTGGATGTGAGCGACGTGAAGATCACTATCATGTGGACGCCCCCTGACAGTGCGGTGACTGGTTACCGTGTGGATGTGATCCCCACCAACCTGCCTGGGCAACATGGACAACAGCTCCCCATCAGCAGAAACACCTTTGCCGAGGTCACTGGTCTGTCTCCCGGGGTCACCTATTACTTCAAAATCTTCGCAGTGAACCATGGGAGGGAGAGCAAGCCTCTGACTGGCCAACAGACAACCAGTAAGTCCTTCTCTAACCCCGAAGTCCTCCACCTCCCTTGCAAGCTGGGAGCGTACCACTGTGTCCTAGGTTGATACCATGTTGTTGTTGCTATAGTTACCCCAGAGTTGGTTCCAACTTATGGCAACCCCACATACAACCAACCTAAATGCCACCCAGTGCTGCACCATCTTCACAAGTGCTGATACGCTCAGGTCTATTCTTAGTGCCACGGTGTATTTCGAGTGCCTTCCAACCTACCGGCTCATCTTTCAGCACGATTTCAGACAATATTCCACTGCGATCCTTGGGGTTTCATTGACTAATTTCTGGAATACGTCATTAAACTTCCTTCCTACTCTTGTCTTATTCTGGAAATTCTACTGAAACCTGTCTACCATAGATGATCCTCCTGTATTTGAAATACCACTGACACATCTTTCAGCATCAAGCCACCACAGTGTGACAGACTGACAGTTACATCTTAGAAACACAACTGAATAGTAGATATCAGCACAGTTCCGCATAAACCAAAACCCATATAAGCTTCTAAACTATACCTGGGAGAGGAATGGTAATTAGAGAAAATTTAAGAGAAACTGATTTTCTCTGCTTATGGAAATACGGGAGTCCTGGTGTGGCCTGGTGTGGTCCAGAGCTGCTGTGGGATAATGCTCTGGACCACAAGGTCAGCAGTTCAAACTCACTAACTGCTCCTTGGAAACTGTACAGTGTCACTATGGGTAGGAACTGACCTGGCGACACTTAACAACAGCAACAATGGACAATGGATCAATAATTTGAATACATGTTTATGTAACGAGGTATCCCTAGATCAAAGCTAAATGTAGGTTCTTAACCTTGTACTTAAAATTGTATGAAAATAGTAAGTGCTAAAACATTCAGGGTTCTTTACATACATTATCTTATTCAATCCTTATCTTAATTTAATAAGGAAAGTCCTATTATTGTCCCTACTGGGAACATGAAGAGAATGAGGCTCGTTTTAAAATTATGCAATTTGTCTAAAGTTAAAGAGCTAGCGATTGGTGGAACTAGATCTGAAACTTACATCTTTTTGACTTCAGAGCCCATGCTTTCAATTCAATAACTATTCATTCAATAACTGCACGGAGTATTGCTTTTGTTCTGAATAGAGCTATCAACTCTCCCTTTGCTCTCATTGCAGTGGGCTCATGCCTCTTTGCCGATTTGGCTCAGCGCAGAGTAAATTTGTTGCTATGTAAGGGTGAGTCTTAAAAATGGTAGGAAGTTCTTACTGTAAAATTAGACTTTATGAAGGATCATAGTCAAGCAAAAAAAGGATCGGAGAGTTTAATAACACTATGTAGCACTTTCTCTTGTGGTGGTGGTGGTGGTTATGTGCCGTGGAGTCGGTTCCAACTCATAGCGACCCTGTACAGGGTTTCTGAGGCTGTAAATCTTTGCGGGAGCAGAAAACCTCATCTTTCTCCCGCAGAACGCTGGTAGTTTAGAACTGCTGACCATGAAAATAACCACCATGCTACAAAATCTCCTTATTCTATTTTATAATAGCCCAATTTTCCTGATTTTGACATTTACTTGGTTTCAACCATGAGGACAGAAAACTTAGAAAATATATGGTCATGCTTTAGGGTTTCAGCATCGTGATTACTGATGTAAATCTTTATTGGTTTATTTTATCTTTTTATTTTTCTAGAGTTGGATGCCCCCACTAACCTCAGGTTTACTAATGAGACGGACTCAACTGTCTTAGTAACTTGGACCCCACCTCGGGCCCAGATAGCAGGATACCGACTGACCTTGGGCCTCACCCGTGGAGGCCAACCCAAGCAGTACAACGTGGGGCCTTCAGCCACCCAGTACCCACTGAGGAATCTGCAGCCTGGGACTGAGTACACTGTAACCCTCGTGGCTGTCAAAGGCAACCAGCAGAGCCCCAAAGCCACTGGAATCTTTACTACTCGTAAGTCATCATTTAAATGCGATTGCTTAGTTATCTTATAGAATCTGAGCTACAGTTATATTACCCATTCTTCAAACATTCCTAACAAGTTAACTTGAAAAACTAAGTACATGATATAAAGTCCATCGATTGTTTGTTACTGGTGCACAAAATACGGAATTTGAGCCAGAACGTAAGTAATGAAGCATGCTGTTTAGTTCAGTTGACAGTTTCTTTGAAACAAGGCTTTGTTGGTGATGGAAGCAGTCTGTTAATCTGCATATGTTGCCAAGTTTCCTGTTTGCTTTGAGTAACATAAATTCAAAGTGTCCAGATTTGGGGAAATTAAATTATTTTCTATTAAATGAGTTTCACAAATATTAATTAAGACAAGAAAAATTCAGCACCTTTGGCTACATTAAATGATAGCCATGAAATGTAGGATAAAAAAAAATCTATTCAATGAATACATACCCAAGATAGAATTAGAAGCTAAGGAAGTGACTCGTGTACCTTCGACTGTGGCTGATTAAAGGACTTGCAGAACAGAATAGCTTTTTTTTTTTCCCACCCCTTTCCCTAAATTACTCTTGGCATTCTACAGAGGGGAAAATACTGACAATAATTTTTAGTCATGTCTTTCCTTTTAGCCAGCATTTTAGAGAAAGTGGTCTTAAATCTCCTACATAGCTACATTAAATAAAGGTCTGTATTCACAAACAGATTTCTACCGAACACACTCACATGTACATTACAAAGAATTATGAGACCCCTAATTTCTAGCTGAACATTATTTGTTATTTTGTACTCAGCATTTTGAATTCCAAAAGTCCTCTAGCAGAAGTACTTTTTTAGCATTATTATAAGCATGAGCCAGTTTGTCATTTTCCAAAAGCTTACATCAAATCTCACATTTGACTAATTGAAAAGATAGATATGAAAAGACATTCCAAACATTAATACATGGTTTGTAAACAATGAATGGAATTTGTTGAATTATTTTTAAGAAATTAAAAATTTTCTTCCTAAGAAGTCATAATTTGCCCAAAAATTACTTCCACTTAAATGTGGTGTATGTCCATGAAGTTGTTTTTCTAATTGTTAATCAGAGGAAAATAACGTGTTTTTAATTTGTAGGTAACTTCATTTTGTAATAAGATGCTGCTGTTATTAAATGCCATTGAGTCAGTTCTGACTTATAGCAACCCAGTATAGGATTTCCAAGAAATAGCTGGTGGGTTTTAATTTCCAACCTATGGTTAGCAGTCCTATGCTTATCCTACAGTGCCATACCAGGATTCCACTAAAAACTACATTTACTGTGGCACTATAGGATAAGCACTGGACCACAGGGTTGGTTTGAACCAAAAGGTATGTGGTTCAAACCCACCAGCTGGTCCTCGGAAACCTTATGCTGGGCTGCTATGAGTCAAAACAGACGTGGTGACACTTAACAACAACAGGTTTTTAGTACCTGTACTGGAGTCCTGGTATGGCGCTGTGGGTTAATGCGCTGTACTGCAAAGTCCATTTGATCCACAAGGTCAGCAGTTCAAGGGCACCAGCTGCTCCTTAAAAACCCTATACAGGGTCACTATGGGTCGGAACAGCGGTGGTCTTATGCTGGGACTCGTTGAATCATTGGCTTCTTTTTACTCCTTAGAATAAGTCATCTTTTATGTAGTGACGTATTTTTTAATTTGTTGTTATTCAGTGTGTCCGACTCATAGCAACCTTGTATAATACTTCCAAGGAGCAGCTAGTGGGTTTGAACTGCTGACCTTGAAGCTGGCAGTTCAATGCTTATCCTACCAGTCCTCCATTCTTGAAAAATATGCCTACCAAGAGAAAAAACAAACATTTTTAACAAGAAATAAACAGGAGAAGGGGTAAATATACAATATTTCAGGCACTTTTGGAGACTGTTGTGCATTTAATTTATGTTGTGTGCAATATATTTTTTTTAATTGAATTATATATGAATTAAAATACTGGTATTCAAAACTAATTTTAGTAGATTAAGGCTAGCATAGTGCCTTTTGTTGTTGTTGTTAAGTGATGTGGAGTCAGTTGTGATTCATAGCAAACCAGGATAGGGTTCCAGAGCTCGTAAACCTTTGTGGGAATGAGTTTTCCTGAGGAGTGGCCGGTGGGTTCGAGTCATCAGCCTTGTGGATCACAGTCCAGTGCTTATCTTACAGAGCCACTGCGCTTCCTAACATAGCACCTTTCATATAGGAAACATTTTTAAAAATATTTGATGACTGTGATTGCCTCAGGTAGAATGATTTAAACCCAGTTCTCAGCCAAGCTTAGATTTAAGTAAGTCAGCATATTCAGGGAGCATGAACTTCATTTGAGATGCAAGTCCCTCCTCAAACTGCAGCCATCAGCAGGACTTGCATGTTTTTGAATCCATCTCTTTTTACCAGGCTGAATTCTGGGAATCACTTTCCTGAGTTTTATAACTTATACTAAATTCTTAAGAGCAAATCTGATAGGGAAATGTGTGTGGTGGTGGTGGCGGGGGACTGTTTCTGGGGGAAATTCAGCTTGCTACTTTATAAATAGGGTAAATTTTATTTCTTTAACAGCCGGACTATTCTTCACCTAGTAAGAGCTGCCAGAAGCCATAGCTCCTACTTACAGTCACATCCTTTGTTTGACATCAGTTTGTGGGTTTGTGGTTTGGAGATTTTCCTGTAATGGCCTTCCCAGGCAACATCTTAAACTTGGAAAGATTCTAGCTGGTTGCCTCAAGCAGTAGAAAATACCTAGTCTTAAAGCACAGGACAGTTGAGGAAGGAGGAGATTATTTATGAAAAACTTGTGACTTTCACAGATGCGAACTCCCTGCTCCCCGTAGTATTTCTCAGGGACAGCTAACATCTTCACACAGGGTTGTTGTTGTTGTTAAGTGCCTTCGAGTCAGTTCCGACCCATAGCGACCCTGTACAGGGTTTTCGAGGGTGTAAATCCTTACGGGAGTAGAAAGCCTCATCTTTCTCCCGCGGAGCGACTGATAGTTTCGAACCACTGACCTTAAGGTTCACAGCCTGATTCGTAACCACTACGCTACCAGAGCTCCTTTCACAGAGTCAGCAGCAGCCTATTGCAACATGATTTCAATACAGTAGGAAGCCATGTGGGTTAACTAGTCTGTTTTCATGGAAACAACAACAGATTTATGAAGCAGCTCCTTAAAGCAGTAGAACTTTAATTCTGCCATTAGAACAAACATTGCAAAGTAGCCCATACACATATTGTATTCCCCACCCCCACCCCAACACAGTATTTTTTAAATGAAAAAGGAAAGAAAAAAAAAAAAAAAGCACATTCAAATTCAGACTGAGAGTAATAAGAAGAATTGTAATGCGGGGCGTTTGTCTGGCAAAACATTGTCTGGAGCTGAGTAGACAAAATCCCAGTTCATCTGACTCTGAAGCATAACTCTGTGACTCACCAACCATTCATAACTGAGTGTAAATGAATTTCATAGTTTTTGTTTGTTTGTTTGTTTGTTTTTTCTAATGAGGCTAGAGCTTGTGAAAAGGGTATTGAGTAAGGACTACCAGTGATGAGGGCTATTAACATACTTGGAACTCTTGAATTTGACTCATTCAGTATAGTGCCAAGTGTAATTTACAAATCTTAAATGTGTAACAAGATTTATAAGGCTGTTGGAGATGTATAGTTTAACTTGTATACACTTGCTCTTTACCTTCCTATGTTTTAATTTTGTTATGTTTTCTAATTCCAGCAGCAGAATACTGAATTTCTGTAGTACTATTAGCTTTGGTAGTGTAGTGGTTACAAATCAGGCTGCAAATCAGGCTACAAACTGCAGGGTCAGCAGTTTGAAACTACCAGCTGTTCTGCGGGAGAAAGATGAGGTTTTCTGCTCCCTTAAAGATTTACAGCCTCGGAAACCCTGTACAGGGTCGCTATGGGTCGGAACCGACTCTACAGCACATCACCACCACTGCCATCTTTATTCTAAATAAATATCACATATTCAGAAGGAATGAATCTTTATAGATATATCCATGGAAGCAGATGTTTTTTAACTTCAATATGGCATTTTTTATCCTAATTAGAAAAATGGCCATCATTCTGGAAGAATTCATGCTAAAGCTAGTTTTAGATCATAATTTAACCTGTGACCCATTGTCCTCAAATTAATAATGAAGAAACAAAAATGCTAATCAGTGTGCGGTGGCCAGTTTTAGTTTTTGTATGGAATTTTATACTAAAGATGTAAATAAATTTATAATCATCAAACTCAATTCCCAACCATGATTAAAGACATAAATCACAGAATTAAAGGTTCTTTGTTGTTGTTACGTGCCGTGGAGTCAATTCCGACTCATAGCTACCCTGCCCAGGGTTTCTGAGGCTATAAATCTTTATGGGAGCAGAAAGCCTCATCTTTCTCCTGCAGAACAGCTGGTAATTTCAAACTGCTGACAGTGAGATTAGCAGCCCGATTCATAACAAAGTTCTTCAGCCCCTTGTTAATCCAGTATGATCCATGAAGTAGTAGTGGTGGTTGTGGGCCACTGAGTCAGTTCTGACTCACAACAACCCTGTGTCTAGGGTTTCTGAGGCTGTAACTCTTTATGCGGCAGAAAGCCTTGTCTTTCTTTCATGGACCAACTGGCAGATTCAACAGACTGACCTTGCGATTTGTAGCCCAGCTCGTAGTCCACTTCACTACCAGAACTCCTTAGTGACATCAGTATTTCCTGTGTGGAATACCTATCCTCACCTTTAAGGGAAAAAAACTTAACCCGGTTGCCGTCAAGTCAGTTCTGAGTCACAGTGACCCCACCGTGTGTTTCAGAGTAGAATTGTGCTACACAGTCATTTTTGATGACTTTGTTCTTTTGGAAAATAAGCCCTGGTGGTTTAATGGTTTACTGCTTAGCTGCTAACTAAAACGTGAGCGATTCAAACTCACCAGCTGCTCGACAGGAAAAAGATGTGGCAGTCTGATCGGATCTGATCAAGAACCCAGGTTAAGAAACCATTTGGGGCAGTTCTACTCTGTCCTATAGTCACTAGGACTCAGAATAGACTCAATGGCAGTGGATGGCATTCCTTCAGTAGGGATCACCAGGTCTTTCTTCTGAGGTGCCTCTGGGTGTAAAGTGAGCTTTTTGTCATTTGCAACACCCATTTAAACCTGCCTTTTGACTATGTTCCCAGAAGATTTGTCAGCTCCAAATTTCTATCCAATGAACTTGCATGTGTTGCATTATAGATCTGTTGTTGTTGTTGTTTAGTGCCATGGAGTCAGTTCTGACTCATAGCGACCCTGTACAGGGTTTCCAAGAAGCAACTGGTGGGTTTGAACCTCAGACCTCTGGGTCCAAGTGCTTATCCTACAGCGCCACACCAGGACTCCATTCTGGATCTACTGTCGCTTAATCTGAAGTTGTCAATAAAAATACTTGTTGTCTGCATTCTGTGCAGTTGTGTATGATCCCAAGGTTTGAACACAGGCTTTGGTTCCTTTTCACAGTGCAGCCTCATGGTTCCATCCCACCTTACAACACAGAAGTGACCGAGACGACCATTGTGATTACATGGACACCTGCTCCAAGGATTGGCTTCAAGGTACCTTGCTGATGTTTCACATCTGTCCAGAGAATGCCCTGAATTTCCCTCATGTATCAGAACATGGTAGAAACAGGATGCTCAGAAGTCCACAGACTTGGATTGACCTTTCTGACTGGTCTCTGCATAGTCAGGACATCATAACACAATGAATTCCTGGAAGGGTGGCCTGAGGCAATAGCTCTGAAAGTACAAAGTATCCTTTATACTGTACAAAGGCTATAGCTGTTAGAGGTTTGGGTTGCTATTGCTATTATCTCTATCTTTTCCCCCAGGAAATTGCATTTGAAAATACAGGGATAACTCTGTTTGATGTGTTGTTACTAACAGGTATCATCAAGTTCACTGAAAGCCAGTTTAGGGAGACCAATTAAACTCAGAGTCTTTTTTTAAAAATCACATTTTCATCTGATCAGCATCATCCCAGCTGGCTCACATCCCATGAGTGAAGCTCAAAACACAAGTTAAGATGAAGGTTTTCCATGTGAACATCTTGATTCATAGTCTTCAGAGTAATACTATCAGAGAAGGAATGTCTACAAATGAAGAGTTGTCATCCTTTCTGTCAGTCAGACTGCGGGAGAGGGAACTATTTATCATGACTAGAAATCAAGACAAAACCCCTATGATGGTTTTTAAAGAATGTGTCAGTGGTGACTTGCTTTATGAGGATGCAAATAGCCACATTGATAATTAAGCTATTTAATCATAGAGAAACCCTTTTTGAAAATGGTTTTGAAATTTCTGTTATAACAGTGTCACAATGATGTTGAGAAATATTATAACTCAGGTAGGACATGCTTGACAACACAAGGATTGTTGTTGTT